GGCATCGGATTCGGCCTTGGCAAGTACAGAGGCCAACCGAGCCTCAAGCTCCTCAATTCTTCTTTCTTGAAGCAGGCTTTTTTCCTTCATTTTCTGAAGTTGGGTTTCGGACGATGATAATTGGGCTCGAGCAGTCTCTTTTTTTGCAACAAAGCGGTCCATACCTTCTTTCCACCGCAAAGACTCTGTTCTTATCACGTCGACCTCCTCACGAAACTTCCCGATCATCTCGATTTTTTGCTGCAGTTGTGAGACCGAAATGTTAGCTATCATTCCGTTATCAAGCCTATAGGCTTTCTAAAGCATCATTACCTGCTCAAACAAATCGGTCTGATCTCGATAAGCCTTAGCCAGCTCAGCTCGGAGGTCTTTTATTTCCTCTTCTCTCTGCCCTAGGGAAAGTCTAAGGGAGTTCCTCTCGTCAGTAGCCCGTTGTAGGTCGGCCGCGTATCGATGCAGCTCATTTTGGGATCAAGAACATTGTTCTCGATGAACTGCCATTGCCTAAAAAGAAACAAGAAGCAAAGTTAACGAAAAATGAACATAAAGATAGTACCGAAAAAATAATGTTAAAAGCTCACCTGATTCAAAGCCTGCCACAATCCGTGAAAAAGATCTGATTCATTACCAGCACCGGCAACGTCCTCAATACCGGTAAAAAGGACACGAAAGGGATCTTCTTCATCGTGAGGCCTGCCACATGGAGCATCATCGATCCAACCGGTGATGAGGCATCGGCGGTTCTCTTCGTTTGGACCGCCAGCGCGGACTCATCGTTCTCTTTTTCTTCTTTTTCATCTTCATCCCTTAGATGCAGAAAGGATTCCACGGTCAGATGGATGGCATTGGTGTTCGGCTTATGAGCCGTCCTCTTCTTTGGTTTTGGATCTTCGGGAACCGAGGCTCTTTTCCTTTTATTTTTCCTTCACCAGCTTTGGGACAGAGGCCAAAATTTCCTCCTCATTGGACAAGGGCCTCAAAACTGGGTCTTTACCCAAACCTACATATGGAAACCCTTAATAAAATATTTTGAAAGCTACCTCATTCGGATCATCTAAAAGTCTGAGAAATGAGGTTACCGTGATTTTTTGGCCTCCTACCGACCCTTTGACAAATCACGCCATGAGCGCTCGGCGTATGTGGAGGTCGAAACAAGGGCTCGTACCCAGTTCTTGAGATCGGGAATTGCTCCGGGCATCCAGAGAACCGCTACATATATAAAAAAAAAAAGGAGTGTCGATGAGAGAATAAATTAAAGAAGAAAAAAGAAGTAACACCAAGATCACACTTATGTTTCATATTCCACTCCTCGGGAAAGGGCATTTTTTCAGTCGGAATCAGGTCCGAAGTCCTTACTCGAACGAACCTGCCCATCCAACCCCAGTCCATGTCCTCTTCCATACTCGAGAACAGAGCCTTGGTAGCCCGACGCTGGAGTTTTATTAACCCTCCTCGAAAAAGTCGAGGACAGTACAATCGGATAAGATGATCGAGGGTGAACGGCATCCCCTCGATCTTGCTCACAAAATATCGGATCGGGATAACGATCCGCCACAAAGAAGGATGGTCCTGGCCTAGGGTTACCTGGTATGGTCGATAAAAGTTAATAATAATGGAATCGAGGGGACCCAAAGTGAAAAGGTAAGTATACACATTCAAAAACCATTTCACGTAAGAAGTGATATCTTCGTCGGGCGTAGGAATTATTATTTCTTTCTCACCCCAATTGTAATCCTTCTTTAGCTGTTCGAGGTGCTTCTCGGTTATCGAACACATGTACCTCGATACCGGCTCACACCGGCCAGGGACCGATGAACCTTTATCGACCTTAAAATCTGAAGTAAGGCCACACGCCCAGGGAACACACTCCTCAGGCCGTGGTTCTGCCGGTGTCTCATCGGCGGCACACTGTGAAGATGAAGCCTTCTCTTTCTGAGGAATGGTTTGCGATGTTTTCTCCATTTTCGAATTCAAAGGTGAGGAGTAGAAGAAAGTGACAAAGTTTGGTAGAATTGAAGTGGGATTTTTGCGGCAAGAAATCACAGATTTACTGGTAAGTTGGAGAGTACGAAGAAGAAGTTGGGAAATTTGGAAGATAGAAGATGTAAAAATGGTAAAAGATAAAAGAAAGAGTTATTTATAGGTTCAAGCGATGGCGGTTCAGTATCAACAGTGGCCGACCACCGCCTGACATGCATTAAATTCCATGAAAGGCTAAACCGACGGGACAGCTACCAGATGCGTCATGGTCAAACCAGTTTTAAATGACAGGATATAATCCGATCGAGCTGTTAAAAATCATATCATTTGTCACCACATTCTTTCTGAGAAACGAGGGGACTATCTGTATACGGTCGAAATAGATTTCGGCCTTAGCACGTCCGATCGAGTTCGAACGATGATTTATCGAAGTAAGACCCTAAAGGTGGAACAAACTAACCTCGAACCTGGGGAGGCCGATCCGTGCCGAGTTCGATATCATTATCGAGCTCGAATCAAAATCGAATCATGATGCAGATTAGATCTATCATGCAGATAATCGAGAGACCAACCAACATTGACCTCGAATCAATTCGAAGGATCGATCCAGGATCGGGCTCGAACCAAGATCACGAGTTCGAGCCGAAATCAAGCTCAAACCAAAATCGAGGGCTCCAAGCAAGATCGAGCTCGCAGACAAAAGCCGTTGCAATCCCACTAGAGAGAATCTTGGCAGAAATTATGGAAAAGCTGACTTATCATGGGTCTCCCACTGAATGTTTATTTTATTATGCTTAGAGCCAAATCCCTCCACTATAAAAGGGCTTGGTTACTATTTTTATGAAAAAGTTTTTTTTTTAGGCTTACTTTGTAATAAAAGTGCTATATTCTTCTACAGTAAAGAATTGTTCTTTCAGATTTCTTATATTGATTCTATTTGTTGAATCCTAAGATTCATTATTCCAGACAACCTTATTTATTTCATATTCTCTGTAATCTATATTTATATTTCTATTGATCCTTACATTTTGTGTTAAGTTACACCACATATCCTCGGAACTGCGTATAAATTCAACTCTATCCATTTTTTGGGTAAACATGTATATACACATATGTAATTGACAAATATGTATCTACATATATGTATACATACAAATTTATGAGACATTTAAATAGGTATTGAAATCAATTTTCAAGCATTACATGCATCTCAAGGTGCTGATAATTTATCTTCAGAGTGAATGGCGTGTAGACATTATTGAACATGTCAACATGGATCCCTTGTTGTCGGTCTGATATTTAAATCCAGACATTCCGACAACATGGGCCTAGCTAGTGATTATAGTCTCATTAATCATTTTGACCAAATAAATGGATTTGCTAAGATTCTTTTGTTTCTGATATTGGAAACAGTTGAATGTGGCTGCACAATGACTCACTCCTCACTCTGACTTAATTTTTTGTCATCCAGTATTCACGTTGACAGCCTCCGGGCCGGCTTTACCTCAGTCGGCAATGGCCTTAGGCCCCAAAATATATATATACTTACTGTTGAAAATTACAACCATTTTTTTAGGAAGAAATATTTACAGCCAATTTATTACTTTCTTCTTATTTTGTCTAATTCATTCCAATTTAAATCAATAGTGTTGTATAATTTTTACTTCCATCGAATTAGTGCCATTGTGAGTTAATTAGATAGATAACAATTGGATTCATTGACTTAATCTTAAATATTATTTGAAACATAATGGTCATCATTATGATATTATTAATTTCAGCTTATTTTTGGAATTAAAAGTGCTAAGAGAAATACACAAATAGAATATATATATATATATATATATATATATATTTACTGCAATACTGAATCAGGAAAGAAGAGTGTTTACCCGAAAAACGGATAGAGTTGAATTTATACGTAGTTCTAAGGATACGTGGTATAACTTGGCACAAATCAAAAAAATACGTAGGAATATATCGAATATTGACTGTAAAAAAGAATGAAATACAAACCAAACTGAGTAGAAAACGATTTATGAACAGGCAAGATGAATCAATGTGCAAAGCCCATAAAAGGATAATCTCTTTTGTAAATATATGTGAATATCAATAATCTTTTACATATGGGAGTGTATAAATGTCTTCATGTTCAGTCTCTTTACAGATATGATAGCCACTCTTCTTATGGTGGAAGGATCATACTTTGGATTTAATTAAAAATACATAGTGGGAATCCCATGATAGACTTGTTAATTAGTATTTCCTTGATTTCCGTCGAGATTCCTTCCATTGGTGCGGTTACAACGACTCTTTACCTCTTAGCTCGATCTTGGTCGGTCTTCTTAGTTCGATCTTGGTCGGTCTTGGAACTGGTCGATCTCTAGAACTCGAACTTGTTTTTGACTCAAGTTCGGTATCAACTGGTCTGGATCTCGAGTTCGATAACTCCATTTCACATCATAGTTCGATTTGGACTCGAGCTCGATAATGACTTCGATCTCGGTATTGATCGGTCCCTGAATCTTGAGCTCGGTAACATGGCTTCAGGTCTCATCTCGATATCACGAAGATGATCCTCGGTCTATCACATTCTAATCTTTTCTAATTACACGAAGGGCAAAACCGGTTTTGATCATATACAGATAGTCCCCTCGTTTCTCGGAAAAGATATGGCGAGAAACGATATGATTTTTCAACCTCTGACTAGGTACACACTGACGTTTTCATCGTGCCCGACCATGACGTACGTGATAGATGTCCCGTCGGTTCAGTTACCAAAGCATTAAATGCGCGCCAGACGATGGTCGGCCACTGCTGGTTTTGAACCGTGGTCGCTAAATCTATTAATATCTCCTCTCTTCACCATTTTTTACTTTCAGATCTCCAATCACCAAATTTTCTAAGTTCTTTTTGTATCTTCTGAGTTCTTCATCTGTAAATCCGTGATTTTCACTACAAATCTCTTCTTAGAACACCAAATCTTGTCATCTCCCTCTATTTTCAATCGTCAAATCCAAATGGCGAAAACGCCAAAAATGGTTCCTCAAAAAGAAAAAGCTTCTTCTTCGCGGCCTGCCAGTGATAAAACACCGGTGGAGCCACCACCTAAGGAGTGTGTTCCCGGGGGGGTGTGTTCTTACTTCCGATTTTAAGACTAATAAAGCCTCTCGGTTCCCGGTCGATGTGAGCCAGTATTGAGGTATATATGCTCGATAACTGAGGGATACCATAAGCAGGTAAGGAAAGATTGCAACTGGGAGAACAAAGAAGTGGTGATCCCGCCTCCCAAAGAAGATATCACTGCCTAGGTGGAAGGGTTTTTAAGTATTTATACTTACCCTTTCACGTTGGTCTCCCTCGACCCCGTTGTCGTTGACTTTTCCTACCAGTATCAAATAACCCTAGGCCAAATCCACCCTTCCTTTTGGCGAATCGTTATTCTGCTCCGATTTTTCGTCAGCAAAGTCGAGGGGATGCCTTTTACCCTCGATCACCTCATCAGGTTATACAGCCCCCGCCTCTATCGAGGTGGGTTAATAAAACTCCAATGCCGAGCTACCAAAGTAGTATTCTCAAGCATACACGAGGATAAGGACCGAGGTTGGATGAGCCGGTTCGTTCGAGTGAAGACTTCCGACCTTATGCCGGCCGAGAAGATGCCATTTCCCGAGAAATGGAATATGAAGCGTAAGTACAATCCCACTGTTAGCTCCTATTTATTGTTTTGTTCCTTCGTTTATTTCTCATCGATATATTTTTTCGTGATGTAGCAGTTGCTTGGATGTCTGGTGCAATCCTTAACCTCAAGGGCTGGGTTCGGGACCTGTCCTCGACTTCTACGTATGCCGAGCGCTCGTGGCACGATTTATCAAAGGGCCGATAGGAGGCTAATACGCATAGTATGCCTCTTTCCCAGGTCTTCATTGATTTTGTTAAAGCGCCTAATACTTATTTTCTTTTCATACAGGCCTTGGAAAAAAATGCTATTATGAGGCCCCTATCTTGTGAGGAGGAGACTTCTATCCCGGCCCCAAAACCGGCAAAGGACAAAAAGAGGAAAAAGATCATGACCTCTGAGGATCCCGAACCTAAGAAGAAGGTGGCTCGTAAGCTGAGGAAGAACATCATCCTCTCGACCGAAGATTTTGTTCAGCGTCTAAGTGATAGAGACGAAGAAGAGGAAAATGATAACTTTGGGCTGGTGGCCCAAGTGAAAATGAGCACCGAGGCCCCAAAGGCTACCGAATCGGTGAAGGTAGCAGAGATTCCATCTCATGATGAGGGACTCTCAGAAAGAGAATTGGCCGAAGTCCCCGAGTCGTCAAGGATCGAGGCTACCTCCCACCATAATGAGCAATGGTGGGTATGGCTGCAGGGGCTGATCTCGAGGCCCTTTCAATCGAAGGAGGCCACGGAAGGGAATGATTATTTTACTGGGGTCGAAGATGCTACCCGCCTGAGCGACTTGGAGTTCTCGAGGAAGGACTCGGGTGAGGCATTGAGCCTTTTCAATGAAGTGCAGCGAGCTATGAATCGGGCAAGCCTTAACTTCCCTTGTTAGTATTACCATTGTGTTTGTTTTTTCTTTTCTAAATTCTTTTCTTCTTTCTGCGTAGGCCTCAGTGCTTCATTGGGAAGCAATTTCTCGGTCTCGAGCTGAGTTGAGTCGGTATGAGGCCAACCTTCAAGGGCTCACGGAGGAGAGAAATGCCCTTAAACTTCTCTGCTGGCAAAGAGAAGAGGAAATCAAGGACCTCCGAGCCGAGTTGGCCAAGGCTCACCAAGATCATTCTAACCTGATCGATCAGGTAATGAAAATCTTAAAAGCTCATAGGCTCGATTCAGGAACGGTGGCTAACATTTCAATCTCACAACTGCAGTAGAAGATCGAGGTCATCGGGCAGCTCTACGAGAAGGTCGATACGATGAAGGCGGAGACCTTGGGTTGGAAAGAAGGTATGGATCGCTTTGCTGTAGAAAAAGAGGCTGCCTTATCCCAATTTTCATTGGCCGAAAGTCAGCGTCGAGGCATGAAAGAGAAGAGCTCGGCTCAGCCAAAGGAAATAGCAGAGCTCGAAGCTCGGTTGGCTTCCAAACTTGAAAAGGCCAAATCTGAAGCTGAAAAGGTTAAAGCTGAGGCAGACGCGAACATGGCCGTCTACTGAGCCGATGCTGAAGCCGCTCAAGTACACGCGATAGAGGTAGCCGAGACCGCTCAAACTCGAGCATATTAGATTGTTGAACTCGCCAAGTGCCAATCTCGAAGGGAAACCCTCGAGGAGATCCATGCTCTAGGTTTTGATCTTACCAAAGAGATAATAGAGGGTAAAGAGTTTGAAGCTGATGCTGGAGCCCTGGCTTCTGATGATGATGATGATGATGACAAGAGCAAGAGTGGGTCTGGGAGCGGGGAAGAGATCGATGGAGAAGAAACTGCCCCCCGGAGAAAATCAGGAACCTTAGGGTTTTTCATTTTTGATATTTTTGTGTAAGGTACTGATCGGACCTTGTAAATATTCTTATATATATAAAGATCTTTTTTCTTTTCCAACTTGTCTTTGTTTCACTTTCTGCTTTGTGAAAATTTTGTTTCATTCATGTCTTATGAAAGTTTTGTTCATAGGTTGAAGGCTTTAGGCAATTTGATCAAAGTCAGACCTTGTAGTCTTTATAATTGAGTGAGAGTTTTCCCAAACTCGCATTAAGAGTATCCCTTGGGCTTAATAGTCGAGTGAGTGCTTGCTTGAACTCAAAGTAATGTAGCCCTTAGGCTTTATGGTCGAGTGAGTGTTTGCTCAAACTCGAATTAAGAGTAGCCCTCGGGCTTAATAGTCAAGTGAGTGTTTGCTTGAACTCGAAGTAATGTATCCCTTAGGCTTTATGGTCGAGTGAGTGTTTGCTCGAACTAGAATTAAGAGTAGCCATTTGTCACGACGCTAAACTCAAACCTGTTGTGATGGCGCCTATCGTGGAACTAGGCATGCCGACTCATTTCCAAAACAAACCGATATTTTCATTTCAAAGATAATTTCAAGGCTATTAAACATAAAGACCTTCGTAAAGGAGTTCAAATCAAAATAAAAGTGCGGAAAAGAAAAGCCCGACATCAGGGTGTCACTAGTCATGAGCATCTACTACAATTTTTCTGACAATATCGAGACTAACACTGTCTGGAAAATTAGCTAAATATAACTAAAGGAAGATAAGAGGGAGAAAAGCACGGATGCGATCGCCAGGAAGCTACCTTGCTATCCCCGAGAAAATCTGCAACCGCAATAGTCAACAGTCGCTACCGTGCCCAAATACGCCTGAATCTGCACACAAGGTGCAGGGAGTAACATGTGTACGCCAACTCGGAAAGTAACAACAGTAAATAAAGACTGAGCAGTAGTGACGAGCAATAAAGCATATAAAGTTCATATCAGGAAATCTCGTTTAAACCCAGTTCTAGTAAAAATCATTTAAAGATATTTTCAACAGTTTCAAACAGAGGTTAATGCAAAGGTGAGGAAAAATGATGAAATCATAAACAACCCCTCGGGCACACCTCACAATCACTCGTATACAGCCCCTCGGGCATACCTCACAATCACTCGTATACAGCCCCTCGGGCATACCTCACAATCACTCGTAAACAGCCCCTCGGGCTTACCTCACCATCACTTATGCCTCCCATTCACTCAGCACTCGTCACTCACACTCAGTAGGTACCTGCGCTCACTGGGGGTGTGTACCGACTCCGAAGGGGCTCCTTCAGCCCAAGTGCTATAACAAGCCAAATCATGGCATAAATCTATTAGGCCTTCGGCCTCACTCAGTCGTAAAACTTCTCAAGCCACTTGGGATCTTAGTAAAAACAGGGTACTCAGCCCAAAAGAACAATAAATTGCATCAAAACAGAGTAATAAAACTGAGTTATGCAGTAAACATGTATGACCATGACTGAGTATAGATTTTCAATCGAAAATAATGAGAGGGTAGTAAGAAAAAGGCCACTAAGGGTCCAAACAGCACTAGCACAAAGCCCAAACATGGCATTCCGCCCAATTTATAGAAACTCATTTCTAAAACTCATAAGTATCATATAGTTTCAACAAAATATACAACTTTACAGTTGCTACGGGACGGACCAAGTCACAGTCCCCAATGGTGCACACCCACACGCTTGTCACTTAGCATGTGCGTTATCTCAAAATAATAAAATGATACAAAATTCGGGGTTTCATACCCTCAGGACTAGATTCACAATCGTTACTTACCTCAATCCGAGCAAATCTCTACTCCGCAATGCCCTTGCCTCATGAATTGGCCTTCAAACATCCCAAATCTAGCCACAAGAAATACAATACGATCAATATAGACTAAAGGAATCAATTCCATAAGAAAAATACCAAATTAGACTCAAAAAATGAAATCGGCTCAAACCTGGCCCCCGGGCCCACCTCTTGAAAACCCACAAAAGTTACAAAACTATAAAGCCCATTCACTCACGAGTCCATACATATGAAATTCATCAAAATCCAACATCATTTGGTCCCTCAAATCCTTAAATTAAACTCTCTAAAATCCCAAGACCTAACCCCTCATTTTCACCCCTAATTTCCACACTGTCCGCACCTGCAGACCCAGCCTACCCCCACACTGTCCGCACCTATGAACTCCCATGCGCGCTTGCGAGCTTGCACCTGCATTCCCTCCTTTTGCAGGTGTGAAAATACTAGTAGCAGCAGCCTCAGCTGCATATTTCAACTTCAAACAATCCGTTAACCACCCGGAATCACCCCGAGCCCCTTGGAACCTCAACCAAAACATACCAACAAGTCATATATCAATATATAAACATAGTCGAGCCTTCTAACCACTCAAAACAATATCAAAACACCAAATTACCCTCGGATTCAAGCCTAAGAACTTCTAAACTTCCAAATTTCGCAAACGGCGCCGAAACTTACCAAACCACGTCCGAATAACCTTAAATTTTGCACACACATCAGAAATGACACTACAAACCTACTCCAACTTCTGGAATTCCATTCCGACCCTGATATCAAATTTTCCACTGCTGACTGAAAATCGCCAAATTTCCAATTTCGCCAATTCAAACCTAATTCTACCACAGACCTCCAAATTACATTCCGGACACGTTCCTAAGTCCAAAATCACCTAACGGAGGTAACCGAACCATAATCCGAGATTGTTTACTCATACGTCAACTTTTGATTTATGTTTCCAACTTAAACTTCTAAATAGGAGACTAAGTGTCTCATTCCACTCCGAAATCACTCCGGACCCGAACCAACCAACCTGATACAACACAATACAGTTAAATAACACATAAACAAGCATAAATGGGGGAAACGGGGCTATAACTCACGAAACGACCGGCCGGGTCGTTACATCCTCCCCCTCTTATATAATCGTTCATCCTCGAACGAGTCTAGGAACATACCTGGAGTCTCGAATAGGTGTGGATATCTGCTCCGCATCTCCCACTCGGTCTCCCAGGTGGCCTCCTCCACAAACTGACCTCTCCACTGCACTTTCACTGAAGTTATATCCTTTGACCTCAACTTCCTAACTTGGCAATCCAAAATGACCACCGGCTCCACATCATAAGTCATATCACCCTCCAACTGAACCGTGCTGAAGTCCAAAACATGGGAAAGATCGCCAACATACTTCCGGAGCATGGAAACATAAAACACTGGATGCACCAAGGCAAGCTTATAAGCTACCTCCCCTATTCTCTGAATCACCTCAAAAGGCTCAATGAACCAGGGCTCAACTTGCCCCTCTTCCCAAACCTCATAACACCCTTCATGGGTGATATCTTCACAACACTTTCTCCCCAACCATGAAAGACACATCATAGACCTTTCTATCCGCGTAGCCCTTCTGCCTAGACTGCGCCGTGCGAAGTCGCTCTTGAATCAATTTCACCTTATCTAATGCATCCTAGACCAAGTCTGTACCCAAGAGCCTAGCCTCTCCCAGCTCAAACCATCCTACTGGAGATCTACACCTCCTCCCATATAAAGCCTTGTACAGAGCCATCTAAATACTCGACTGGTAACTGTTGTTATATGCAAACTTTGCGAGCGACAAGAACTGGTCCCATGAACCCCCAAAGATAATGACACAAGTGCGCAACATGTCCTCCAATATCTGAATAGTGCGCTCGCACTGCCCATCCGTCTGAGAGTGAAAAGTTGTGCCCAACTCTCGGTGTACGACCCTCCAAAACTGCGATGTGACACCATGCGGGCGAATAATCTCTCGAATATAAATCTCAGCCAACCGCTCTGAGGTATAAGTAGTACCAACAGGAATGGAGTGCGCGGACTTGGTCAGCCGATCCACAATAACCCAAATGGCAACGAACTTCCTCAAAGTTCGTGCGAGCCCAACTACAAAGTTCATGGTGATCCGCTCCCATTTCCACTTTGGGGTCTCTAACCTCTGAAGCAAGCCACCCAGTCTCTGATGTTCATACTTAACCTGCTGACAGTTGAGACATCGAGCCACAAATCCAACTATATCCTTCTTCATCCGCTTCCACCAATAGTGTTGTCTCACATCTTGATACATCTTCGTGGCACCCGGATGGATGGAATAACGCAAACTGTGGGCCTCCTGAAGAATCAACTCCCAAAGCCCATCTACATTAGGCACACATATCCGGCCCTGCATCCTCAACACACAGTCATCACCAATGGTCACATCCCTAACATCACCTCACTGAACCCTATCCTGAAGAACGACCAGGTGAGGGTCATCATACTGACGCTCCCTAATACGGTCATAAAGAGAAGACCTAGAGACCACACAAGCCAATACCCGACTAGGCCCCAAAATATCCAATCTCACAAGCTGGCCCGCTAAGGCCTGAACATCCAATGCCAAAGGTCTCTCTGCTGCTGGAATATATGCTAAAATCCCAAACTCTACGCTTGGTGACCTAAAGTATCGGCCACCACAGTGGACTTCCCCGGTTGGTAAAATAGTGATATCATAGTCCTTAAGAAGCTCTAACCATATCCGCTGACGCAAATTAAGATCCTTCTATTTCAACAGATACTGCAAACTCCGATGATCAGTATAAATCTCAAAATGAACCCCTTACAAATAATGACACCAAATCTTCAAGGCGTGAACAATGGCTGCTAACTCAAGATCATGGACCTAATAATTCTTCTCATGGGTCTTCAACTGGCTCGAGTCATAGGCAAACACCCTAACTTCCTGCATCAGAACACATCCAATGCCTACCCTCGAGGCATCACAATACACGGTGTAAGAACCTGAAACTGATGGCAGAACTAACACTAGAGTTGTGGTCAAAGCAGTCTTGAGCTTCTGAAAGCTCTCCTCACACTCATCTGACCACCTGAATGGAGCACCCTTTTGGGTCAATTTGGTCAAGGGCGATGTAATAGACGAGAAACCCTGAAGAAACCGACGATAATAACTAGCCAAATCGAGAAAGCTCCAA